GTTGTTATTTTGGGTAAAGCTAGCCGGTGGCAGGAACTGGGCAGGACGAAAAGCAAGCCCGCAGCTCCTACCACACAAGTTCAGCAGTCATTTCTCTGTGGGTCCTGCATGTACAGTGAAGCAGTCCAGGCAAGAGCAGTTCCTTGCTCAAATGGCTAACCAACTCCATAAGGAGCCTCTTCAATGCCCATCATCCTCTTGAAGTAACTTGTGCTGCCAAGAGCAGATGTGTCTCACTGTCATGAAAAGTCCTAAATTCTTAAAACATTAAAATGCCATATTCTGAAGGTCTCTGAAAGATTTGAAGAATACCTAACTAACTGAAATATATCTCTCTATATATAGAAAACCTAACTAACATGACTCTTATAGGTGATTAACTTATATTTCTTACTTATACATTACATTTTTAAATGAGCTATATAATCACAATACCTTAATTAAGATCAGAAATATACATATAACAAGACTGACCTTAAATTTGCTTTAATAAACCAAGATCCATACCAATGCAAATCTCTATAGCAGTTTTAGGAGATCAGTAATATTAAAGTTCACGTGAACCAATGTCTGAGTCCAACAACTCTGCAACCAACCAAGCTATAGCTTCTCTCCAGAGTGAGATGGCCCAGCCCTAGCCTAAGTCTCATGTGGGCAAAGTCTTCAACTCCTCACAATAGCTCCAGTGAGGTCATAGAAAGAAATGAGCCAGTCACAGCTGTTCACACACACACACAAAAAAAAAAAAAAAAAAAACAGAAATTCTAAATTCTTCACCTTCTGTCTCCAAGGACTACATTAGTTTTCTGCCACGACCAATTCCCTGAGAAGAAGCAACATGGGATACATAGGTCTTACTTTGGCTTGGGCTCTCAGAGGACAGGGAAGCCATGTCTGGGGACTTGGGAAGATGGATCTGGAGCAGCTGCTTACATGGCTTTGGCATGTCCTGTTGCCTCTAAGGCCCAATTCCTCCTGCTGGGATCTACCACCATGGGGTTTTACAACTCCCTGAACAGCACCCTCTGCCAGAGACCAAGAATTCAGAAACCTCTCACATCCAAACCTTGAGGAGGACATTTGGACTTTGATAAGAGCAGCAGTTACAAGAGTAATCTCTGTCAGCTTTGGGATAGCCTGGGTTAGAGAAATGGCTATGAACTAGATAGAGAGTGAACACACAGGATTCTTCAAGGCCCTTTTTATTCAGACCCTCAAGTTCTCGCATGACTTCAGTTAATGCAGGCCTCTTCATCTCTACACTCATTATTCTCAATCCTTTTTCTCAAACTCATATCTACGGTCATCATAAGAATGATAACCTGTCTGTGACACTGTGAGGAAACTGTTGTCCCTCAAAATTCCACAGAGCATATTTTGTCTAATGAGTGCCACGGTGGACAGAAGACCCTTAACAAGATAAGGGAAGTTATAATCCCAGGGAAAGACTAAGGGGAGTAACCAAGCAGGTGGGTACCCTCTAAGCACATTGCAAAATCAAATTCCTTATCTTTTAGACATAATCTATACTAGCAAAAGCTAAGGGTAAAGAACGAAGCCAATGTACAATGTGCCAAAACTAAATGAATAGGGGCTGGAGAGATGGCTCAGTGGTTAAGAGCACTGCCTGCTCTTCCAAAGGTCCTGAGTTCAATTCCCGGCAACCACATGGTGGCTCACAACCATCTGTAATGGGGTCTGGTGCCCTCTTCTGGCCTGCAGACATACAGACAGAACATTGTATACATAATAAATAAATATTTTTAAAAAAACAAAAAAAACAAAACTAAATGAATAGAGAATAATAGAAAGTGGTTGGTGATAAAAATAAACTGAAGCACATGGACAAACTAAATCTAAAACAAACAGTAAGTCAAAGTTTAGGCACAAACCCAATCCACAGGTAAGCACACTCACAAGGTTCAGTGGTGATCATGGGTGTTCAGTTCCAAAGACAGACAACTCAAATAAAAGGCACTCAAGACCAAAGTCTTGAGTCAAGTTCTCTGCTGATGTGGGAGTGTCATATATCAATCTGTTGATTTCATTGGTTAAGTAATAAACAAACTGCTTGGCCTCATAGCTTAGAACATAGGTGGGGGGAGTAAACAGAACAGAATGCTGGGAGGAAGAGGAAGTGAGCTCAGACTCGACAGCTCTCCTCTCGGGAGCAGACGCCTCAGAGAGCCGCCATGCTCCCCTCTCCCGGGTAGACATGATAGCTCTGCTCTCTGGGGCACACGCGATGAAGCTCTGACCCAGGATGGACGTAGGCTAGAATCTTCCTGGTAAGCGCATCTTGGGGTGCTACAAACATTATTAGAAATGGGCTAAATTAATATGTGAGAATTAGCCTAGAAGAGGCTAGATAGAAATGGGCCAAGCAGTGTTTAAATGAATACAGTTTGTGTGTTGTTATTTTGGGGCATAAGCTAGCCAGGCGACCGGGGTGCTGGGGACGCAGACCCGCCGCTTCTATTACTACACTCTGCAGTCAACTAATAGCTTCAATGCAATGTAAGGACAAGCTCGAGGCCCAGCTGGTGCCTTCTATGGGTGGGTCACTCTCATTCCTCACAATGGCTCCTTGTAAGGGCACGGAGCATGGACCAATCACAGCTAGACAAAAACCCATTGCAGTTTTTGAATTCTTTGCTCATGGTTTCTCCCAAATTGATGCCAAGACTCAACTTAAGATAGGCAGAAGTTATTTTGGCTCAGGTTTTCAGAGGACTGGGCACAGCATGGTGGTGGGCTCTGCTGGGGCGCTGGAGGCAGGACATGAGGTAACTGCTTTCATTGCATTGACAATCCTTGGGTCACCTAAGGTTCCATTTCTTCATCCAAGCCACACATCCAAGAGTTTTCTGGCTTCTCAGTGCAGGTCATTTCATATTCAAGGCCTACCAAAGATATTTTCCACTTAATAATAATAATAACTGATTGAACACTGATAGCTTGGACCCAGGAAACTTTGTGCCTCTCTGGGTTATGGACACAGGCATTTGCTGGCTAGAAACTGAGTCTATAATACATCACCACCCTTAGGACTTAGGCCCTAAAATTCTGGAACTGCATTTGTTTTTATAGTCCTTACTGTCTCAATACGGAGGATGTTCAAACCCTCTGGCTTTAAATGTCTTCTCCTGGTTTAAAAGGACTGTAGCCTCTAACATGATCTGTCCTGCATACATCTGGGACCTGCGAGGAAGCAGTTTCCTCAGAACTTCCTTCTGAGAACCCTTATTTGTCCCATCAAAAATCCTAGAACTCAGATACTGGTTGATATCAAGAGAAGCTTGTCAGCCCAGAAACCTATAACTAAGAGTGCTCTTGTTAAGGGCATGGGGGATGCAGCAATGCCCCCTTGCTCTCCAGCAAAATGCCTTGGATTGGGTCATTTATTCAGCACAAAAATTGATCTGCTGTATCGTTACAAGTGGTGATGTCAGAACCAAGCTATGAAGAGATGCGCTGTGCAAGAAGGACTGCTTTCTCTTAGAAACACGGTGGTCTGTCTGGGGATAGGAGGAGTCTCATTCAAGGCCAGCTTGAGAAAATGTGTGTAGTGGGGTTCTCGAAAGTAACAGAACTTATGGAATGAACCTCTCTGTGTGTTTGTGTTTATCCATGTAGCTACCTCTGTATCTATCTTTGTATCCATCCATCCATCCATTCATCCATCCTTCCATCCATCCATCCAAGCTGTGATTCACATAATCCAACAATGGGGGCCTGTGAACAGAAGGTCCAAGAATATAGTACTCTCCCAGTCCTCAAGACTGAATGTCTCACCTGGTCTTTAATATATGCTGGAATCCTAAAGAAGTATACTCTAATGCCAGTGAAGGAATGGACTCACGAGCTTGTTAAGAGCAGGCAAAGAACAAAAGCTTCCTTCTTTCACGTCCTTACAGAGGCTTCCAGCAGAAGGTATTGCCCAGATTTTATCTGGATTAAATATCTGCATTAAAGGTGTGTCTCACTACCTCAAGATCTGGATTGAAGGTGTTTCATTTGCAGCTCAAATCATCTGGATTAAAGGTTATGTCTTCCCAGCTGAAAAGATCTGATTAAAGGTGTGTTTTTCTAACTCGAAGATCTGGATTAGATATAATCAAGTTGACTACAAGAATAGTCATCACAAGTCCGCCCTTGTCAATTTGCCAGACATTCTGCAGGACACAGATGAAAGTGAGTAACAAACTGCTAATATAGGAGGAACTGTCTTTGAAATTTCCTTCTTCATGGAAAAGTCTGCAGGATACTGTGGGCCTGTAGGCTGAAGATGGGTGCCCCAATGTTACAGAAGAACTTTGGGTGACTGTCCAGGCAGCGAGATATCTCTGTCAAGTCTAGAGTTTTGGAAGTTTCTTACAATGCACTTCCTGATAACTTAGCCAATATTATCCCTCTGAAGTCTTTAATGGAGTTGAAAAATAGTTTTCCTTAGTTGTGATAAAAGATAAAATAAATATAAATATTGTAACTATAATTCTTGCTTGCTAACTGTTTTGTCGTATGTAATCTGCTATGTTAAAGTTAAAACCTTCCTTTTATTTAGACAGAAAAGGGGAGGTGATGTGGGATTCCCCTCTGTATGCTATGAATACCAATGGTTAATAAAGAAGCTGCTTTAGGCCTATTGCAGTGCAGAATAGGGCAGGGTGGGAATTCCAAGCAGATAAGACAAGGAGTAGGCAGAGTCAGAGAGAAGCCATGTAACCACCAAAAGAGGCAGATGTCCAAAAACTTTACTGGTAAACCATGAGCTTCATGATAAAATATAAAAGTGGGTTAATTTAAGATATAAGAGCTAGTTAAGATAGAATACGTTTAAGTGATTGGCCAAGCAGTGCTTTAATTAATACAGTTTATGTGTGATTATGTCAGGTCTGGGCAGCCAGGAAACAAACAAGTGGTCTCCGCCTACAAGCTTACCTGCCTCTTTTCCCTTGTCTTCTATTAATAGAAAACAGAGCACATTTGTGTTCACAGATATGTCCCAGGCAAGCAAAACTCACCTTGATGAACTCCAGATAAAACGTCTGGAGGAGATGTGCATTGTCATTGACAAGCAGGATCAGATTATTGGAGCCGAAACCAAGAGGAACTGTCACCTAATGGAAAACATTGAGAAGGGTGAGCTGGGAAGAGGATGCCATGGGCATCCAGGCCTGGTGCCATCAGACACTCTCTGAACAAGGCAGTGTGGGGACGAAAGTGTCCAAAGTGTACCACTGCTGCTGCTGACTTGATAAAAACACTTACCTCATGGGTTGAGTAATATAGACTGTGATTGCTGCCTTGAAGTGGGGTGGGAGAGTCAGGAATTGCAACCAAGATAGGTGTGGTTGCGTACAACTTTAATGCCAGGTAGAGTCAAATGTATCTCTAAATTCGAGACCAGCTCCAGGCCTGTCAGGTCTATATAGTGACACCTAGTCTCCAGGAAGAAGTGGTGGAGGAGGCATGTCATTGGGAGCACTCTCAGGGAATGCCTCATGTATCATAACTTTCAGGGCATAAGCAGTCACCCTGTGCTACTGAGTCATCCATACTTCTGCACAGGGTGGCAAAAGTAACTACAGTTATTTTGAGACCATAGGTTTAGAATCAAACAGTAGGGTCTAAGACTTAGAATTGGGCTATCTAGCATGGCTTATTTTACTTCTTGGCTCTTCAGTTTTTATGTTTCCAAGTGGAAGAAAACTATAGTACTCACAGTATTACGGTGGGTAAATGAATACTGAATATCACCAAATGCTAAGCAAATGGTGTAGACTCTATCCCAGCAAGGAGCACCAGCTACTCTTGGTGCCACCATCCTGAGCTGGACGAGAATGCTCAGGCGGACTCAGTGTTGACTTCCATGTGATCCTAACTCAAGCTCACACACTTTACAGGCCTGTTACACTGAGGCTTCAGCGTCGTCCTCTTCAACAGAAAAAAACCAGCTCTTGGACCAGCAGAGAGCAGATGCCAAGTACACGTTTCCCGGTGAGCGGCGCAGTTGAAATCCAGGGAACACTGGATTCTAACTTAGGCTTTGGGAAACTGAGAGGAATGGCAGTGGACAAAACTACCAGAGCACCACCCCCATAAGCCCCACTCAGACTGAAGATACATTAAATTACAAGCATTTTGCAACTGGAATTGAGTTGTGGAATTTTATATTGTAGTATTTGTCTAATAGAACTGATACTTATAAGTCAGAATTGAAGCTACTTTATATACTATGGCCAGGAGGAAAAGTGCTTTTTTATTTACTAAAAGGACACATTCAATATAGAAGCATGCTGTACGTTTTCCCCAGGACATTTTACAGACTCCTGTTCTAGTCACCCTTTATACATGCCCGATGAGTTGGAAGAGAATGATGCCTTGAGAGTGAGGAGAACATCCCTGAGACGCCTGCAGGCTGAGCTGGGCATCCCTCAAGAGCAGCTACTCACTCCAGTATGGGACTCAGTGAAGTTTGTCATGTGTTCAAGGGTCTGTTTAACAGTTATAGTGTCACATGACTGCTATTAATTCCATCCATCAAGATGCTATGACTCAGGGGTGGCTGCCAGGCTAACATGGCTTCTGCCTTTCCTGTGGAAATGCCTCGAGTCTGGCCCACAGGACAGGCTGTGAAACAAATCACTGTACTGAAGCTCAAGTGTTTCTCATTTCCATTCTCAAAAGAAATCTTTCCCACTCCTGTATGTCCCAGCACAGACCTGTTTAGCCTCATGTCCTGTACACACATGGTCTTCATGTGAGTGGCCAGGACTTCATGTGATCTACCTAACATTTAACTAAAGCTTAAATGCTTTGTGTGGCACTCTGTGAAAAGGAGTGAACTCTTTTCTATCTAAATTCTCATTTTCTCTTATTGAATTAATATTGTATCAACTTTGACACAGATTTCCATAAAGGACATAATTTTTATAAACCGAATCTACCACAAGAGTCCTTCTGATGACATTTGGGGAGACCACGAGATTGGCTATCTTCTGCTGGTGAGGAAAGACCGTGTGCTGAACCCAGATGCCAGGGAAGTAAGAAGCTACTGCTACGTGAGCCAGGAGGACCTGCAGGAGCTCCTGGACAGGGGAGCTCTTGGGGAAGTGAAGATCACCCCATGGTTTAGAACCATCATAGAAGGCTTCCTGTTCCCTTGGTGGCCTTCTTTAGAGGATGTGTCTCCATTCATTGAGCCTGACAAGATATATGGACTGTGAGCAATATGGAAAAGTAATGTTCACAGCAGGGATTGGAGTTGAGATGACTCAGCAGTTAAGAGCACTTGGAGAGAACAGAAGTCCCATGCCCAGCATCCGCATGGTGACTCACGCTATCCATAACTTCAGCTCCAGAGGACCTTACACACGCTTACAACATCTGTAAGTACCTGGGATGCACAATATGCTGTATATACAGACAGAAGCAAATAACTCATATACATAAAAACTTAAAACATCTAAAACAAAAAGTAGGGCTCATAACTAATCCGTGGTTAGAATGGCATGCATTACAGAAACTGAGCTCTAATATCCTCCCATTGTTTGTATTAAATTAAAATTCAAGCACTTAGTTTTGCTTCCTTTTTTTCCTCCATCTTTTGTTTTCTCCCGAGACAGAGTTTCCCTGTTTAACAGTCCTAGCTGTCCTGGAACTAGCTCTTGTAGACCAGGCTGGCCTTAAACTCACAGAGATCTGCCTGCCTCTGCCTCCCAAGTGCTGGGATTAAAGGCGTGCATCACGACCCGGCTTTCTCTCCATCTCTTAAAAATTGTCACCTGCCATGTATGGAAATGGTCACTTTTCTCCTAAACCCCCGACCCGGTGGTATCACATTTCTCCCTCTGGAGCTGTGCTTACTTGTCACCATGTCCAGGGCTCTACAGGCGACCTGAGCCTGGCGATTACAAGCATATGGTGTATGAAGGTTAATTTGGAAAACAAAGAACTCTGTTAGTTTTCATTGGGTCCACAGATTTTACAGGGACTATCTGTGGAGCTGATGAGCATGTTACTTCCTGCTGTGTTTTTGCCTCAGTCATTGCTGAACCCCAGCACAAAATGCCTGTCTTGTACATATGAAATAATGACAAAAATCAAAGTTTAATGTCTTTTAGTATAGATCAAGGAGTAAATCTGTGTGGTAAATGTTATTATGGATATACTTATTAATAATGACTAAAACTCATAATCTTTATTATGTAAATTATATTAAAAGATTCAGTCATCTGGAAATTTGGAAAAGAAAAATCTACCTGATTTCCCTTCATTATTTGCATAATTAAGAACTTCTATTCCATTGCTTCTCAAACCCTTTGGAACCTGTAGTTATATTAATCTTTTTTTTTTTTTTCTAAAATAGTCTCACTATGTACCCTTGGCTGTCCTAGAACTCACTATGTAGACCAGGCTAGCCTCCCAGAGATCCCTGCACCCCTGCCTCCCTGCTGGGATTAAAGACGTGTGCCATTATGCCCAGCTTAGGCAATTAATTTTCTTGAAAATTAAAAACACCAAGTGGAAGTATCCTAATTCTTCATTAAGTTGGGGTCGTCATTCCCACAATGAATTCAGAGCTGAACAAAACTGCCTCAGCTGGAGTAGAGGGATTCTGACATTAGAATCTTCTCTGACATGTCCCTGTCCAGTTGCAAAGTTTAGCCTCAGTGGCTTTTTCCAGCTGGAATTCCCAGAATCTAGCCCATCGCCTCTGACATCCTGAGGTTGATGGCAAATCTTTATTCTCCCTAAACAGCTTCTTCCCTGAAGTGTGGACAGCACTTACCTCATACATTCCATCCTAACATGCAAAACACAAGATAGCTGTGAATGCCAAGACCATGTAAGCTATGTTCCTTTGTAGTGATATTTCATTCGTATTTTACTAAATAAAGCTTGCCTGAAGATAAGTGTGAAACAGCCTCATTGGTCAGCCATACAGACCAGGCAGTAGTGGCACATACCTCTGATCCCAGTAACCACACAAGCCATAGAGACCAGGCAGTGGTGGTACATGCCTTTAATCCCAGCTCAGTCTCATTCTGAGGATTTGTGGAGGCAGGATAGCCATTTCGGTCAGAAGAAGAGGTAAGAGCCAGTGGCTGGCTACTTTGCTTTCCTGATCTTCAGGTTGAACCCCAATATCTGTCTCTGGGTTTTTATTATTCATGCTACATGTCACTGGTTTTTGATAAAGGTCTGAATGGAAGCTGTGGCTCTGACAGGAAGCAGGCACCTTGAAGACTATCTTCTGTTGTCTGAACAGGGGATGTAGTACCAGCTACACTATGATTCTTCTCATTAATGTTTTAGTACCTTTCAGGGCACTAATCTTCTGTTTAAGCTCACTCCTAAGTTTCCCTTCTTTCTTTTAAGTGGAACTGTTCCTTAATTCAGCAATGGTTCATGAAAGAAGATGTCATTTAACTGCTGCGAAAACTGAAGCATTTGTTTCCCTCAAAAAGTATTTTTCATCTAAGAACAAAGAAGCAAAGTCTATCCCTTTGTCTTTTTTCTTTGGCCATCAAAGCAACTTTAATTAAACCAAACAATACTTATGTAATCAAAACTATTTTTTTTTCTGGAAGTTTATTTAATAAAATGGTGGAAGTTACAATCATACATTGAGCTGAATGTCTAGAAAATAATTTACGAGAGTAATTTCAGTTCTCACACACTCCTAAATGTGCTTCCTCAGAAAGGCTGGTAGCCTTCTGCCTACACCTTCCAGTGGAGATGCTTTCTTCACAAAACAATAGGCACTCTGGATAACAAAGTCGTTAAAATTTAAAAAATGGTGGGAAGGAGTCACACCACACAACGGGGTTCACATGGGAGTTTTTTTTTTTTTTAAGAGGAAAGAAAAGGGGACAAAAAGGGAGCAGAGAGGAGGACAGAAAGGGGAGCAGAGACTGGTACCTGGGAACAAGAGTGGTGGAGGAGAAAGAGGGGCTGGGGAAAGAGAAAGAGTGGAGAAGTGGGCCAGACCCACCTCTGAAAAGGGAACACAGCAAATGTGCACAGGAGGTGCTCTCAGTGGCTGCAGCTGAGAACACAAACTGTCAGGACCCCAAAAGCAGAGCAATAGAGGTACCTGAATACTAACAAAAGTTCCACTACAAAACAAAGTTTGTTCCCCACCAAAAGCAGCCTACTTATACCAATAAATCTTTACCTTTTTATTTGTTTGTTTTGAGAAAGGGTTTCTATGGGTAGAGCTTGCTGGCCTTGAACTCAGAGATCCACCTGCCTCTGCCTCTTGAGTGCTGAGATTAAAGGTGTGTACGTACCACTACTGCCCCGCTACCATAAACCTTTCCTGTAAAATTAGTCCTGTAGATGCTCCATACTTAGACACCTGAATTATGCAGTGACCAATACACTGCACACCTAATCAGGTTTACCAGTTCCCAGCAAAGCAACAAGCACTTGTAAGTCTTTTTCATAGTTTCTTTCAGTTAACAGATGGTGATTCCAGATTTTATAAGGCACACCTTACCATACCCAGAAATAAACAAGAGTCCAGCCAAAGCACACCAACTGCAGAGGACACTATCTCCTGTCCTTTTTGCCAGCTTTCCTCTTCCCAGAGAGTAAGTGCTTGGGCTTCATATCAAACACATGCCTATCTGCTTCCCCTTTCTTCCCCAAGCGATTCATCTTCTTCTGGGCATTCTTCATCATAGTCTTGGCTTTCTTCACCATCTACACAGGAGAATACACATTAATGAAAACCACATTTCTATCCTGCATTGCAATTACCTGAGAAATGTTCTAAGGGAACAGACACAAACTATAAAGACCCTGTTGAGTCTCAGTCATCATACTATTTCCAGAAACTCACTATCTGAATACACCGGGGCCTGTTAATTTAGAAGACTAGAGTATCTGCTCAAACTTTCAGAGTAACACTGAAACTCAGGAGAATACACCCTGTCACATCTGACTTCTGTCAATGCCAGCATTAAACCCATGGTTGAGTAGTGCACACTTGTAATTCCTGCTGAAGATGGAAGCTGGGAAATGAGAACTGTGAGTCTGGTCTCCATAGCAAGCCCCCAGCCAACATGGGAAACACAGCAAAACACTGTCTCAACTCAACATTCACCTTCTAGACTTCCAGATGGAGATGACATGTGACAAAAATTTAGCCTTTCATTAAGTAGACAGTCTGCCAATTTAATAGGTTTTCTCTTACATGTGAATTTGCAAAATACTAAAATTTGAAATAAAACTGTTTTTCCTCAAAAAGAAATTTCAGTAAAATCTTAGACACCAATATCATATTGACCCAGGCTGCCACCTTGAGGGGAAATATTCTAGTATTGTAAAGACACACAGGATCACCGGTTAAGGAACCAAGTTTCCCCAGGACCACTTCCTCACAGGGGAAATGGGGGACTCTCCCTCAGGGGCCACATCCTAGTGTTTTCCAAACAGCTGGGACCTAAGCTCAGACTGTTCATTCTTTATCCTGTTTCTGTCCATTCTCCAGAGTAAGGATTCCAGAATGGATGGCCAGGATCCAAGGGCTCCCTGGCCCAAGTTCCTCTCCAAAGGACTCCAGCAACCAGGAGGATGGAAAGAACAGCTAAGATCTAAGCCACAACCCTGCTCCTCCAAACAACTGCCAGTGTTTGCTACAGGCTTTGTACAATAAATACCTGCAGGCTCTCACCTTCTTCTGTCCCACATCAAAGAAACTAACCTTGACATCCCGAAGACCAGAAACGTCACGTGGAGTTCGAGAGCAACTCCGACTCCGGGCTACAGAAGATGGTGGAACAGACTCTTCCCGTTTTCTTTTCCTAGTGACACTCCGAGATCTTCTTGCCTGGACTGCATAGTGGGCCTGAAACACACAAACAGCAAACTCGGTAACAACCAAAATTACTCCAACAAGAAGGGAAGATGGTTAAGGTTTTAAGAACCATTATCGAGCTAGGGAAAGAATGTGGAACATTTATTGAGGGATGTACTGGCACAGGGTCTGGTTTGAAGCTAAGGGGTAAGGGCCAAAGGCAATGCCACACTGCTATTGTCCCTCCTGGGGAGGTTTCAGGAATGTCCAGCTTAGCACTCATGCTCTTGGTAAATCAGATGGTGCTTCTGAGCCATGGCTCTTGCACCTTCCACCTGAGGATGAGCAGGGGATTCAATGTGTGTTAATGTCAATCATGTAAGGTAGTGACACTGCTTTGGTTCCACAATTTACAAAGTG